GTGTGTGTGTGTGTGTGCACATGTGTGTGTGTGCATGCTTGTGCATGTGTGTGTGTATAGAGTGTTTTTCAGGTTACAGCAATTCACATTTGCAATTTCCTGATATTAGAATGAATATGGTCCAATCCTAGGCATCAAGAAACTTAGAGCCAAGAAGGGAGGAAAAGGGAAATGCTAAAATAGTCAAAATGCAAGGCATGACAAAAGTCCCTTTAAAAACATACACTCAGAGTATACTACGATTATTCACATTGAGTTATGAGCATTATGATCTGCTTCCTGGAGGAGGTGACATTTGAAGCAGGCCTTGACACAGAGTAAAAGCCCAAAAGAGGAGATGGCAGGTAGACTGTAGAGAGCATTCGCGTATCAGGGATGAATGAGACCAAAGTTAGGAAGGCTGGAAAGCCAGTGTGTTTTGTTTATTCACAAATGTGATTTCGCTCATACGGGATTGACAAATAGGAAAATGATTTCGGTAAGTGTTTATAACAGCTCTTTCCAGCATATCAATGTTTGCATCACCAAATAAAGGCAGGAAAGTCTACCTGCACAGCTGAAAACACCAAGACCAGGAGTACTAGACCCACAACGCAGCTTGCTCACAGTGCCCAGTCCCCCGTAAACTTGGCCTTGGTTTGGCCAAGCACTCTAAGAAGTGTTCGATGCCCCATTCTCCTCCCTAATTGTGCATTTTTACAACAGTCAGTCAACAGGGTCAACCCTTTTTTACACTCCTTGCCATCAAACTACCTTCACCTATTGCATTTAAGGTAAAATTCTATATTTACTGGAATACTTATTTATTTAAAAGTTTTTAGCATGCCCTTTCGAATGATGATAATGTTTTGATCAAGATTGTTACTGTTTTTGTGAGTGCTCTGATTACAAAGTTGCATAAATTTTGAGTGACCTGCCCTAACTCCGTTTTCCTATAATCCTTGGTATTTGTAGGAATAATTTCTTTGTTTTCTTATCAGGAGAACATAGGTGACAATTTAACATAAATATCAATCATTCCAGGGTTAAAATAAAATGATTATATGGGGAAGATGAGGCTATAAGACATAGACTGAGAAAATTCTGTAGAAGATCTTGGAATGTCAGTTTTAGAATTTCACATTTATCCAATAGTCAGTAGATGGGATATAGCTGTTATGCTTTAGAAAGAGTAGTCTTTCAGATATATATATATATATATATATATATATATATATATATATATATACAAAAAAAAAAAGCGTATCTTATTTTTCTTAAATTTCTGAAAATCACATTAAGATAAAAGTACAAAAGAAAAACTGCTACAAATAAAATCTATTTAGCTGANTTTTTTTTTCCACTTTTCTCTAACTGAGAAAGTACAATGAACTTTCACGTTAAATGAAAATGGCAAATTGTGTACTAATTTTTTACCAGTGAAAATTCTTCTGATACATGTTGAATTTATGACTCAAAGAAGTTGTATTTATGAAAGCCCACCCAAAAAGTTCTAATTCCTTCCCTTTGAACCATTTGACCTTACATGCATGGGGACCTTCCAAAATGAATAAGGCTTTTCAACAGACCAGTCATCACATAAGTCATTACTTGGAATTCAGGTGAGAAGTTTGGGTCACATTGAGTAAAAAAAAAAATCGCACATGGTTCCTCAAAAAAATCAGTGCCCTTGGTGAAAACAATGAATGATGAATCCAATTATTTGCTTTTATCTCTCTCACAAGTATCAGAGTGAGAAAAGACTTTTGTCTTAAAATTAGCCCTAACTAGAATTGGTTAAATTAACACATATGCCTCAGTAGTATGGACATTTTTGTTGCCTTAAAGATACAATAATAAAGTATTATTTAATCATACATAATAACAGATCATATTATTTTGGAATTTTTATCATGAGACTTCTAATTATTTCACGTATTTGTAAATAGCGCTTGCTGAATATGACTCTCATGGCCGCCTATTTCCAGATGCTTTATGCCTGATATGTATTGTTTTTGTGTTTCTCTGAACTAGGTCGACTTTCTGGCTATCGAAATGCGTAAAGGCAAAGTAAGCTTCCTCTGGGATGTTGGGTCTGGAGTTGGACGTGTAGAATATCCAGATTTGACTATTGATGACTCATATTGGTACCGCATTGAGGCATCAAGGTAACTAATTCGATAAAGATTAAGATAATTAAATGACAGAATTTTGAAGTAGTTTCCCAGTTTATAAGAAAACTCCTGTTTCTGTTTCAAGAAGGTAGCTATGTATGTATACAAATTTTATATATTATATGAATATGTATAAATGTGTGTGAATGAATATCTTTGTGGTCCCTGTTAGGGACTGACAAACTTTCAAGGTGTTGATCAGAGTGACCAGTTTACTTTAGATGCCTCATCTGGCTGTCCCATAGGAATTCTGAGGTTCATTGCTTTTGGGCATTGCACCACACCTGAAGAAGTGCTGAGACTCAGCCTTATTCAGCACAAGCCAGAGAGTAAGAACTGCCATAGGTACCTGTCTTTGGTGTGCACAGTTCCTCTTCTGGTCCACCTAGCAATCTTGCCTACAGGCATGTGTAGTATCTAAATGTTGGCATGAATAGATGTCAGGTCCACACTACTTAAAATGGGAAGTAACATGAAATTGACTAAGTCTATCTTTGAAGCTTTAATTCAATTAGCTTCTAGCAGTGTATACATTACTTAGAGAACCCATTTCTGTCCTCGATATGNTAACAACATCAATTAGATAGGTAAGTAGATAGATAGGTAGAAAGATAGATAGGTAGGTAGATAAATGATAGATAACTATGCATTTGAAAAAAATATTTTTAAATGTTACATTTACAAGATTTATATATTCATTTCTTATTTAGTCAATATAGTCTCCATGAGGCAATTTGCTATACTAAAATTTCTTATATTCCACAAACATTTATCAGATTCTACTATAAGCCAAGTACCATACTGGATGCTAAGTTTGTACCTGGCATGGAGTCAGGGCCATAATCTCTAGTTGGTCTCATAGAGATTACATTCTAGTGAAGAGGACAGATCAACACACAAATAAATAGAGGCACCCTTCATTGTCTGAATCTAATCTGTCCCAAAAATCCTATTGGATAGCAACTATTCAGAGAGTAGGAACCTATTTCATGATGTCTTTTTTCATTACAACTCTAAGTTTGTACCTTATGACCACCTGCACCCATTTCACCCCACATCCACCCCCTGTTGTGTTATGCATCTTGCAAATGTAATAATGTGTTCTCAGCCCATCCAAAAACACCACTAGTTCATACCACTGAGACACACTTATACACCAATATAGCCAACCACCAATCATTTCAGCAAAATGCAATGTATTTAAAACATCAGTGACCTAGTTATTAAACACTCCAGGTAAGAGATGGTGGTTACTTGGTCTAGGATGGTGGCAGTGGAGATGCAGAGAAGTGGATGGAGAATGGGATATATATTTGATATGGTTTCTGCCTTATAATGCTTACAATCGAGTCTCCAAAGACTTTGATGTATTGAATGCTGATGGACCAAGTAGACATTGTCTGATTCATGTGAAATGTCTCTCCTCAGTCCTCAGGTGGAAGATAGTGAAGGGACTATTCAGTTTGATGGAGAAGGCTATGCATTGGTCAGCCGCCCCATTCGCTGGTACCCCAACATCTCTACAGTCATGTTCAAGTTCAGGACATTTTCTTCAAGTGCTCTCCTGATGTACCTTGCCACGCGAGACCTGGTAAAGATATGCATAACTGATCTCCCATGATTGAAAATGTTTTGTTTCTTTTCTGTAGGTTTCCAATACAATTATCAATTATTATTAAATTAGTAATTATTGTTCAAAGGAGGCTGGGATGGCTGTGTGATAGTCAAGAGTGGGTGATGCAGATAGCGCTTATATATTTTCATTGATAACTTTAATTACAAACAATTTAATCCTTTAAGAGAAGCACCTAGGAGTGGCAGCCGGTTAGCTCAGTTGGTTAGAGTGTGGTGCTAATAGAACCAAGGT